GGGGGGCCGATGAACCCCCGGCGGAAAAGCGGCAGCCCGGCCTTTGAAGCGATGGCGCGTGCGTGACGAGCGGCGTACCTCCTGCTCTTTTTCAAGGAGCAGTCTCTCCTTTTCCCCGTCGGAGGCGGCGAGCGGCAGCGGGACGTCCGCGTGGCTTTCTCCTCCGTGCTTTTCAGACAAACTATCCAAAAGCGAGGAGAGGGCAAAAAGAACGAGAGAAGGCGGTGAAGACGAGAGCGAGGAGCCGTTCCCGTTCCCGCCCCCTCCCTCCCTCCTCCGACCTGCGTCGGCGCTCCCGGACGACCATGCGCGTCATGCCGCGAATGCAGCGCGCCCGGTAGTTCTCGTAGTGGCTTTGGCAGGTCACGTCCTTCAGGTCTTGCATGTGCGTCCTCACCAGCATGTCCCGCAGAAGCAGGACGTCCGAGTGGGCCGGACTCTCCGCTGGAAGGCGCGCGGGAAGCGGCGCGTGTTCAGAAGCTCTGGCGTTCCATCAAAGCCGCCCTCCCAAAAGGCCACCTCGGCGAGGGCAAAACCGCCGAGGTCTTGTGCGTCGGACGCGGCCCGGAGAAGAGTCGCCGAAACGGAAGGAAAGCAAAGGCGAGCCGCTACCTTCGACCGTCCCCCAGGGGTACGCACGACCTCTGACTCGGCGGCCTCGGCTCTCCACCAGGACGTCGCTCCCGATGACGGCGAAGGGGACGCTGTCCTGCACGCGCGCGACAAGGCGCCGCTGGCCGTCAGCCTGGGAAAACGTCGGGCGGCCGGCGGCGGCGGCGGCAACCTTGAGCAGTTGGTCCCGCCGCTTGAAGTCGTCGTCGTCGTCCTCGTCGCAGTCGGCGAACCGGTAGATGTTGATCCCAAAGCGCCGCAGCTCCTCGCGGATCTGCGGGCGGGGAAGTCAAATGGCCGGCGTCGGCCGCGGGCCCCGCCCACCCACCTACCTTGAGCTTCTTCTCGCGCAACTCGGCCGGGGTCAGGCCGTCGGCTTTGGCCAGCAGCGGAACCACGTTGACTTTGTCGTGCAGGGCACGCATGCACTCCACGTCCAGCGGCCGCAGGCTGCGGGACACACGGAGGGGGCGGGGCCTTGACTCGGGAGCGCCGCAATGGACGCCGCTCGGCCGGCCGCGTACCCGTGGCCGTACGGCGAGATGAAGTAGAGGCAGCAGTGCACGCGGTGGTCTCGGATGTTGCGGCGGTCGAGGCCGCTCTCGTCTCGGAAGAAGCGATCCAACTGCCGCTCCACGTAGTCCTCCAGGTGCTTCCAGCTGCCGCGCGGGAAAGCAAATGTCAAAAGGAGGCGCCGGAGAGAGCCGGCGAGCGCTCGGCGAGCGCGCCCGAGACCTTCGAGTGTTGTCGACGGCGTCGCCGAAGCCCGGCGTGTCCACGATGCTCAGCCTCAGCTTGACGCCGTTCTCCTCGATGCTCACCGTGCGCTTCGCCGTCCTCACCGTCTGACGGATGCGCTCTGCGCACACGCACGCACGCGCATCTCTGAGCGCCGCAACCCGTTCGCGGACGAGTCATTTCTGAGCAAAGCCATCGATCGAGTGGGTCGGGCAATCGATCGTTCCCGACGTCGACGTCGCCCGCGTCCTCGGGACGTCGGCCTCTCCGCCGGCGACCTTCGGCACCTTCTCGCTTCCCGTCCGAAGGCGGAGCCGTCGTCTTTGCGGCCGAGGACGCCTGCTCGGACTTTGGAAAACATTCGCTCCGGCGGAGGTGACGGAGCAAAGCGGGAAGCGACTCGTCATCATTTGAAATTTGCTCGGACGTTTGGAGCCGCTGACCTTGGGCGTTGGCGATCTTCCGGTCTTTGTAAAGGTCGGTGAGGAACAAAGCGTTGATCAGCGTGGACTTTCCCAGGCCGCTCTCTCCTGCTCCGTTTGGGTGACGGTGAGCGCGCTGATCGCCAGGCGAGGCGCGTGCGCGCTGACTCACCTGCGACCATCAGCGTGAACGCGAAGCCCTTCCTCGCCGTTTTGCGCCGAACTTGATCGGGCAACTCGGCCAAGCCCACGTACTCTCGTTCCCGGTCCTGAAGCGCCGGCACAAAATCCCGCCGGCGCCGCCTTGAGTCACGCTAGCTCGAGTCAACGAACGGCATTTGAGCTCCGAGCGTTTGGATGACCGGCGCGCTCGCGGAACCCCGTCGCCTTCCGCCGGACAACGGAGCTGGCGTACAACTGTCTTCTATTTTCCCGAAGCTATTCAGAAATTGCTTTCTGGGTTCTCACCTCCGGCGAGTCACGGGGGTCGCGGCATCCCCGCGGGCGGGAGGCGGGGCTAGGCGGCGAACGCCGCGACACGCCGGGTGGCAAAGAGCGGTCGGCGAACGCCGCGGGGGAGGGCGATGTCACCGGCAGACCGGGCGGGGGCTTCCAGGCGGGGAAGGGGCAGCGGATGCCGCCCTCGTCCTTCGCGCGCAGACCGGACAGCTGAGAGCGGAAGAGGCGGAGTTACGCCCGCCCGACGATCACTCGCCCGACGAGTCGCGCTATCGTTCAAATCCTCCCGCCACCCATCCCCGGTCCTCATCGTTGCCGCGTTTCACCCGCCGCGCGCGTTCGCGCAGCGCTTTCGTCTCCTTGGCGACCGCTCCGCCAACGACAAAGTCATTGCAAAGTCTTCAAGTGTTGAGACAAGACCATCCGCGTTTGGGCACGCGTGGCTTTGGTTGCATTTTTGTCTGTCCGTGTTCCACGAGATCCGCGCCTCGACCCCAGAAAGATCGCAAAGGGCGGCCCGGGTTCGCGTTGGGCTGACGGCGCGCCAGGTCACGTCGGCTCACGGAGCCGCAGACTCGAGCGGGCGACGTCTGGCCTCCTTTTCGCCCTCATCCGTCACTACCCCCAAAGCTTTGGAGTCGCTTAATCCCTCTTCCAATGCGCTCGCCGAGATGGGGGAGGGGGAAGGGGGGGGGGGTTGGAGCCAGACACAACACGCGACACCAACACACATTACAAACACTGCCTTTGCTGACAACAGCGAATGTCACTTACCTCCTTTTCTGACAAAGTAGCAGCTGTTCGTGCACGCACACACACACACGCACACACACACACACACACACACACACACACACAGTATTAAAAAAGACACGCAATTTTGAATCAATCCCTATGACATAACAGTAACCTTTCCGATAACACAATAGATGTGCGTAAACATCCGATGACCGCGTGCAACATGGTGTCAATCTGCCAGCAATGAAACGGGCGGGCGTCCAACTTGTTCGCGTCGAAATACGAATAGCGCGCTCGAGGACAGTCCTGCGTGGCGACGTCCGAAGAGTGTCAAGAAACGTGAGAATAGACTCGTGACGCCAATGCACGCGGCCGTAAAACATCCAAGCGGGTGTGGCGAAGGTGAAGGTTATTTGTGGGAGCTCATCGTTTCCCCCCCGAGTCGACTCGTACCTTTGGCGTCGCTGCGCAAGCGAACCGGCGAGGACGCGCGCTCCATTCCGACGACACCCAAACTTCGCACTCGCGGACGCGCTCGACTGGATCGTGCGCGCGCTTTTCTTTTCTTTTTTTCTCGGAGATGAGAGCAGCTCCCCGCCAAGCTCACAGGTGGCAGCGCACCGTCCGGCGTTCGCTCCCAACAATGTCAACAAGTTAAAGGCTCGAAACCGTTTGAAAGTCGCCCCACACACACAACACGACAATACGTGAAATGCAACGGCAACTATTTCGCCCATGTTGCTTATTTCCGAAGTAACGCTAACCTGAACTTGCACGAGATAGCATCGGCTAGCCAGCTAGCTAGATTCGTTTGCTAGTTTCGCCCAACAACTAATGATGCCGTAGCTTTCTTTTTTTTCAACCCGATAAGCGCGCACGTGGAGGCGTTCACGACCACGATGAGCATTTGGAGTCCGATTGAGTCGGCACACAGACAAATGAAAAGGAGATCCAAACGGTGACGGCTGGACGCCCTTCGATCGTGAGTTTGCATTTTCATTTTCTTTTACTTGTTGTGGGGACGGCAAGCCTACACGCAGTATTTACGGGATGTTTTTATTTCTCTGTAGTCCACACAAAAACAAGAAAGGACGACTAATACCATCAAACCCGAGTGACCGTTTCTTTTTTTTTTTAACTTGGCATCCCTGAGCTAAGTTAGCTTAACATTGGACCTGCCTGGGCTGTGGGCCTTAATGTCATCACTAGTTTTGGTTGCCAAAGCCCCTTTTACAGTCACCCGAGTTGCACAAACTATTACCCTTGATTCTAATGTCAAATGTAGTTCTCCATCAAGTTGTGTATACGTAAAACTACATGAAGGGATTCAACTTATTTATGGTTTGAAATGACAACCCCCCAACAACCCATAAACAAAACCCCATAACATTCAAATGTTTGTCATACAATATCCGCCAAACAGCCTTATTTCAGAGCAGTAACACTTGAAGTGCATTCATTAAATGATTAGCGTCGTTGTTGTCAATGCAAGTGAAGTTTGTTTCTTCACCGCTTTTAACCGCAGCTTCATCTGACCAAGGCCGATACGAGAAAAGCCCCACCCAAGTGCAAAATGAAGATCAGCGTGCTCTGTCGAATACAGAGGTAGGAGGAGTCTTTTGTGGGAAGTCGATCTGGATGGAAATGGAAATGGACTTTCGTGCCTTGTGATGCAGTAAGTAAGAGCGCATTCCAAACTCTCTACATTTGGTTCCGATTTCCACCTTGTGATCTAACGCGCGCTTTTTGAGTGCGTCGGTGCCTTGAACTCCTATCAAGTTGTCCCTTCAGAATAGCCGTGAACTGTCCACCCCTCCCCTTGGCCCCAAACGCTCGCTGCGTTTGGAAGACAAGCACGTGGCAGTTGGCTTTGACGTTCGCTGCCGACGCGCCGTTGTTTCCGGTGTCCTCGCTAATTGTTGTCAGCCGCTCCGTATGCTTGACCGTATACTGAAACATATGCCGGCTTTTCCTCGATGCCGGCTTTTACGCGGTGGACGTTTGTTGCTTCGTCCTTTGTTTGACGTGTCCGTTTTACGATCAACTGTAACTTGAAGTAAGAACATTTTGCCTCTTGCTTGCAGAAGTCTCTGCAAAGTGCGCACGCCCGGCCCGCTTTGGGTTAGCCATCAAGCTGACTTCCATTGCAGGAACTTTTCATGCTTGTCAAGATGGAGAATTATTTTCACATCAGGAGCACCGAGAGAGCCGAAAGAGATGCCGCCACTCTTCCAAACAGAATAAAGGAGGAGTGCGTCGCGTGAGCGAAGTCGTAATCGTGCGACGCGAGCGATGACTCGTGACATTTGTTGCCAACGCTTTTAAATGGCGCTTTTTAACCCGGGTTACGGACTCGTCGGCGCAGCCCCAATTTCCTTTGCAACTATTGCGCATGAACGCGATTTTCTGCGGGTCGTCCTGACATGTCGCGTCGCATGTCGCCGTCTGCTTGATGCGTTGACAAGGTGACGCGGTCATCGCAAAGATTCGTCGTCCTTTGTGTTACTGTTCCACAAAACTCTGCAGGTCCTCCTGGACCGACCGGATGGGTTTGCGGGCACACTGTCCACTCGGGAGGAGTCTCTTTGGCTTTGGGTGTCTCCCGAGTAGTCCCGTGCACGTTCGCCACTTTCAGAGGCGTCGGACACCAACGGTCCGTCCGTCGGCGGGCTGCCGTTCATATTTTGCTCTGCGACTTTTGGATTCAGGTGCTCGCAAGTGTTCAGAAGTGTGCAGTTTGCGCTTTGAGGAACTGGATGATTGTCAGCGCGTTCGTCGTCGGGAGACGTCTCGGGACCCTGGCGGCGCGGAGGCCAAGCGGACGAGGTTCCCGCTTCCGAACCGCGGCTGCGCCAGAAGCTCGCGCGGAGGCGCTCCACCTCGGAGCGGAGGGGCAGGCCGATGTCCAAGTGCATCAGGAGATTTTCCAGCCACTCCTCCAGCTTGGAGAAGGAAGGCCTGCAACCGTTGGGCCAAGATGACGGTCCCACTACTCGTGTCGCGGCGAAAGTGCGCCGAGATTACCTTTGGTCGGCATCCAGGTCGCAGCAGAGGGCGGCCAGCGGCAGGAAGGCCGGAGGGCACCGCGAGGGCTGGTGCCGCTCAATGAAGGCGGCCACGTTCAAACCAAAGTCGTTCCGCCGAGGGAGGAAGTCCGGGTCGGCGCTCACCCTTCCGATGAGCTGAAAAATATTCACACATGCCCGCGTGCGGATATGACTCCTTCCGCGTGGTTTTGTTTGAATGGGCGTGCTTTGAATTGGAAGGATCCCAATTTTGGCTCCCGGTTTCCATTCTGGTTCCGACCCATTCTCGATTGCCAGTCTTTTGGTGGCCGCTTCCCGAGCGCTTGCGTGGTTGAAATAAAGGGGCCGGCCAGCCGTTCATTTTGGGATGGAAACTTTTCGCTGAACTTGGTTGAACTTTCTACTTTGGGACTTGATGCCCAACCCGACTCGAGCCTGACTCTCCCCGCTTGCATTTGAATGGAAGCCACAACTTGCCGTCTCTTTCTGCCTAATGTATGGTATGGACCAGGGATGCCCGAGTGCGGTCCTCGAGACCCCCGATCATTTGAAACAGGTGTGATGGAGGAGGGGGGCATCTAAAACAGGCTGGCTAGGGGCGGGGGGGTTCTTGAGCGCCAGACGTGGCGACCCCTGGCATAGACTGAGCCACGCCCGGGGGAGGGCAGTCTTCATGCAGCCTTTGTGTTCAAGCATCTTTGCAACTCGACTTGCCTACCTCACAAATCATGATTCCGAAGGAAAAGATGTCCACCCGTTCATCGTAGCTTTTCCCTGAGAGGCGCAAAGGGGACACCGCGTGAACCGCAGTCCAGTGCACATGCTACATTTGACAGTTGTGCAAGCGTCACCGTGGATCATCTCCGGGGCCATCCAGTAGGGGTTCCCAACCACCGTGTAGCGCTTCCTGCGGTCCGGCTTGCGGAGCTCCGACAAGGTTCCTCGCGGAGCTTGATCCAGAGAAGATGTTCTGCTGCGATTCCTCTCCGCGGTCACCAAACGAGCCAGACCGAAATCCGCCACCACCACGGACTGATTCTAGAGGAGGACAAAGCGATCGCTGTTGTGCTCTTGGAAAACCATACGAGTCGTCATATCGAAGGACTTGAGACTAGAACCATCAGTTCACCTCTTTGACCAGGCAGTTGTATGAGTTTAAATCGCGGTGGATGACGTTCACGGAGTGTAAATATGCCTAACACGGAGAAATGTGATATATGAGTTGAGATGATGACTTGGTCATCGACCTCTCATCGAGCATCAAAACTCACCATCCCAGCCGCAATGTCTTTGGCATAACTCACTCTGACGTTCCACGCAAAGTTAGTGTCCTAAAATGATCAGAAGGAGGTCAACATTAGCATTAGCATGCTGCTTTCCTCCGCCTCCGGATCAACAGGGATAGACCCTTAAGTGACAAAACAAGTCAACAAAGAATGGAGCCAGCATTCCGTGCTTTGGTTCGCTTTGGTACGGTTTGTACCATCATTGTTTGGTGGGGTTTTTGTTTTTTTTTCCATTGTCAAAAGTTGTTGTTCCCCACCATATTTGATTGGGGTCCCAAAGAGTGGGCCATGCTGCCTCCATGATGTTCACTTCTCAGTAAGTTGAACCGGACCCGGCTTAAACACGTAAGAGGGTGCCGCTGGGAGAAAAACCTGCCGTACCATTTTGGCAATGGTTTCTCTGAGCGTTCCTCCCTGGATGTACTCGGACACAAAGTGTATGCGCTTGTCCTTGTAGAATAGTCCAATGAACTTGAGGACATTGGGATGATCCAGACAGCGCATCACCTTGACCTGACGACACAAAGAGACACAAGAGCAATGAGCCATCGCCCAAATGCGGGTCGTTTCCGAGGCGGACATTTACCTCCTTCAGGAAAGTCTTGTGCGTCTCCTCATCAAAACGTATCAACTCTTTCATCACCATCACCTCTCCTGTCTCCCGATGCGTCACCTTCGCAGCCACATGAAGATCCAAGTGTACGCTCTGCCCCTTTCGGGATCTTGAGATCGCGGCTCTGAGCCTACCTTGACGGCCTGTCCGAAGAAGCCTCTGCCCAGCACTTCTCCGTGGATGAGGTCCGAAGGCCTGAAGATGCGATGGGTTCGATCTTCGGGGTCGGTACGCAGAGACTCTGAGCGCACCATGTCTTTCCGCTGGGATGAGAGTGACAGAGAAGACTTTTCGATGCTGCAGCTGCGCCTGAAACGGGAAGCCTAACTTAGCCCGACAAGATGGCTTTGGTGAATCGATCGCCAGTCGGGGGGCGGCGAACGTTACAAGATGTTTCGCGATCGCGCTCCCGCGGCTCCTCGCCGGTGAGGCGAGAAGAGACCCGTCCTGATGGGCGCCACCGTCTCCACCCCCGACACAGGCTCCTCATCCAGGTTTGGGAGCGCGTGTGCGCAGGGTACGTTTTCACAGACGCGGTTGAGGTCTGCGTGGACGTCGGCGGCGGTCTCGGACCGTGGATTGTGTTCGACGGTCAGCTGCAGTGGTTGGCTCGTGTCCTGGATCACGTGCGCGACCTAAAGGAGAGCACGGCTACCCTTAGGTTGGCTTCACTTAGTCAGACTTACGGCTCGCGGGTGGTTCATTTCGCCGTCAAGAACCTCGTCGGGGCAAACGTTGTGGACGGGAATGCCGTTGACTTCCAGGATGTTGTCTCCAACGTGGACCGAAGGCAGCAGGTCAGGAGCGAGGGTGTCCGAGTCTAACCTGAAAGAGGATGAGGGAGGATTGGATCGGAAGTCGAGGACCGACGTTCAGGATGTCTGCCGAAAGTTTGGACGCACGCTGTCACGGTAACCAGCGGACCGCTTCCTTGGCCGAGTCCGGTGGCCACCTGCAGACCTCGATGGCCATCTGTCTGTGCGGGAAGCGTTACCAGCGCCACCGTGTGCGGCCTCTCGACGGCTGACGCTGCCGCGGCCTGACTGAAACACCGACCGCTGCGGGGCGAACGGCCACTCAACGCAGCGAAGGGACGCAGAAAGATCTCAAACGTGTGGACTTACCAGAAGAGATTGGCTTGTTCCACCAGCGTGTAGCTGTCTCCGTCTCCAATGAATATGTGACACTTCTTGCACGTGAAGCATTCGGGGTGGAACTTTTGTTCTCCGGCAACCTGGAAGCACACGCGGTGTTTTTGCCACAGAGGAGCCACCGCGGGCGCCCTCGTGACATTTTCTGCACCAAGGCTATGCGACGCAGCATTGTCAGGAACTGTTCATCGGACATGCCTTGACGACGTCGCAAGACAAAGAAGCTTTTAGTTAACCAGTGGAAGTCACACCGATTTGTGGAAACTTTGCTCGGGGCCGGATGCACACTGAGAACCTCTGCGGCGGCTCGTCGGTTGCGCCGATAGCGAGTCAGCTTTGTCTGACAGTACGATGAGGTCTCGAAATACACCAAGTAAGGGAGGACACAAAATCTATGAGCTAAACGGACGGTTGAGGTCACCATGACGAGTCCCGGTTGGAGCGTCTCGCTGCAGCCGTGACATTTTTCGCCGTAACGCTGCCAGTAGTGCTTCTTGCAGTGCGGTCGGCCGTCTCGCTCGTAGTACCAGTGAGACAGGATGCAGCCGCATTCCCAGCACCTGCGCACCAGAGGGCAGCAGCGCATCAAGAGCTCCGACAGTCGGAAAGAATTGTTATCCCGAGCCAGTTGGCACCTTTCGTGGCAACTCGGTTGAAGGCTCTCGTCATGGTTTTTCATGTCGACTAAGATGCGGCACATTGCCGTCGTGGTTGGCCCGTGCGCGCCCCCCACATATGTAGCATCTGCAGTTGGAAACTTGTCTCTGGCTTTCCTGTGCGGGGAGTGTGGCATGTGCTCCCTGTGGTTGGGTGGCTTTTCTCAGGGTATGCTCGCAACCCCCCCACATTCCGAAAGCACGTTAGCTCCATTGAGTCGTGTGAATTGTCGACACGTGTTCTGACATTGACCGGTGACAACTTGGCACTTTGTCTTTTTTGATACCCCGGCATCGACTGGCGACCCGACCGGGTCGGAGCCCCTGCTCTTGCCCCCAAGGTCCTCTCTGCCCCGAAGAAGGTACAAGTGCCGTTATGGGTCTCGATCAACACGGTGCCCATTGATCGTGACGGTTCCAACGTCAACGGTCATAAATCGCGGTCAATCTGAATAGATTTGCTGACATGAAATCCTTGCGATTCACTTCGAGAAGACCTTTTCTTCTGGGGAAGCCATCACCGAGCGGTTGAGATGGTCACCTGCCAATGGGCGGGACCCCGGTTCAAGACCATCTCCCCAGACCCACGGTCCCAGCGTCCTGGAGCAAGGCACCGATCCGCCAAACGGCCCCCCCGAGCGGCCCCTGCTGCAGTGGGCGCCACAAACGGCGTGTGCGCGCTGCGATGGCTGACGTGCCGAGGTCAAATTTGTGGACGTGACAAAAAAGAGGATCTTCCTCTTAGCCAAGCAAAGTCTTTGGACTTCAACCTGACGTTATAGAAGCTTTTGTTTTTCCGTGAGGGTGTGCCTCGGTAGATGCGTTGGCGCTGCGAGCAGGCCTTGTAGAACAATAGACATTCATGCCCAGCAGAAAATGCTTGGAGTGGCCCATCTGCAAAGCAGCACAAGCATGGCGGGCGGCCACTTCCTGGGCGACTCCACCTGGTTTCCTTTCCCCCTCAGTTGCGAAGGCCACGCTGACAGTCACCAAGTCAAGCGTCGCACTAGCCAGGCGTGGAGCGCGACGCTCGCAGGTGGCCGGCCCTTTTCAACCGCTTCGGCCATTTTTCAAAAGGCGCAGCCCACATAGTGACAAGGGGAAAACCAAAACAAAACAAAACAAAGTGTGGTCTTCGTGTGAACCCCCCTGTATCTTCAGGGGGACGTTCCAGACTCACTCGCTGTCGGGGAAAATCCGTGTAATACAAGGGGTGGGATCTTATTTAAAAAAAACAAACAAAGCAACAAAAACACCAGCTAACGCTTCCCGGGCATTTGCACACAATGGACTGCGCACGGCGGCCGGTGAGGCATTTCTGGCGGAAAATCCGGACCCTCCCAGCTTCCGGCTTCCTTTGATTCCAAACTAGCGGGACGCCAAATCTGAAGGAAACATAACCGCATTCTTTCAAATCGTGTTAGCGTGGCTTTTCGTCATGTGTCCGTTCTACGGCTCGGAGCTGGCGCTTGCCAGGGTGGAAATGACCTCGCAAACGGTGAATTTTTAAAAGACGAAGGAATCCCTCTTTCAGCAACTCTGTGTTGATGATGATGATGATGATGATGCATCTCTGGTATTGTTCAGGGCAAAATGTTGCAGCTGAGTGTGTGTTGTCCCCTTGCCTAGAACTCGCTGAGTTTCATCATAAAGACTGCCCCCCCCCCCGTGCCCCCTTTTGGGTGGGATCAGTTAGTGAGTAGTGAGAGTACCGCTGTCGGTAGAGGAAGTAGAGCACTTTTACGAGAGAGAGAGCGCCACCCATCACTTTGCAACAAATTTCAAAATCTCAAGTCATCTTACCGTTCTTTCATCCCCCGTCGAAACCTCTGGTCCCGCCGAGACATCCTGGCGGGGTCCTGTCAACGCTGCTCCTCTTAAAGTTGCCAGAACAATCGACAGAAGAACAAAAAGGGGCTCCGTGCGCTCGGGTGGAACATCTTGTGCGAGCTCACACGAGTTGCTTTCCTCTCTGCGCGCGTGTCTGTGTCGACATGCGTGCGCGCACTTACTTCCTACTAATATGAGTGGGGGGGGGCAAAAAGTGAGCAACTGACACCAGATGGTGGCTCTTCTTCCTCGGGTTGACCTGTCCCAGTCTAGAAGTCGAGACTCCACCTTCTTGGTCCTGTTCCGACCTGCCTGGGATCCACTTACAAAAAGTCAAGTCTCATCTGGAGCTTTCTTTCAGGAAGTCACATATAACCGCCGCGGTGAGAATTTGTGTGTGTGTGTGTGTGTGTGCGTGCTGTACGTTGTTGACGTGCAAAATAATGACGTGCTGCCGTCTGTTCATGACTTGCTATTTTATTTTTCAAAGCGCCGTCTACGTTTTGCTCGTGCCGAACATGAAAATGTTTCAAGGAAACGGAACAAAACGCAAAGTTACATGAAGTTGTGGCTTCCCACGTGCAAGTTGGGATTCATTTGCATCTCGGGCTCCCTCCAAACGCTCAGCGGCATTGTGGGAAGCACGGCTTGCACAAAATAACATTGACTTGTAACACTTGACTAAATAGGTAAGAAGCTGACTTTCCTCTGCTCTTTGTCACTCTAACTTAGAATACGCACAAACATGAACGCACGGTCGTCTGGAAATACGCGCGCACATATTTTCAGGATGTATGAAGGAGGTTCCGCTGGTGTCTTAATGTGGAAGATGTTTAACTCGCGGTCGTGGTGCCTTCACGAGTCCCTCCCACCCTCCCATTTGGCGTCTCTTGTTATTGCGGAATGAAACGTGGTGGGCTCACATTTGCCGGGTGTTATTCCTCATCAGCAGTGTCAAAGGGTCTTTAGCACACGATGACCTCCCCGAAGCCGGCCGCCGGGAGCCATTTCCTTGGGGGAGGTTTGCGGCAACGTCAGCATTTCGCGCTTGCGCGTGCGTACAAGTGACACACAAAACAAACAAAAGCAAGGTTTTCTTCACTTGGGATGCTTGGCTAAAAGACGTTTTTGAACATTTTATTTGATTTTTTTTTGTTTGGCTCCAGGGAATCCCGATGGCGGCGGCGAGCAGCTGACATCTGCCGGATGTGCCCAGGCTCCAGCGAAGGTAGGATGCGTTTGCTCTGTTGTTGCGATGAGGTCACATCCCGCCCGACGCTCTCACTTCCTCCTCGGGCCGCAGTATTTGCCCTGGCAGCCGCCTCCGCCTACAACAACAGCAACCCGCACGCGCGCGCGGTTGACCCACGGGCGGTTGGACACGACACGCGGCGATCGCACGTATGTTGACCGCCTACGTTAGCTTCGGCGCTAAGGGGCGATGACACGCAATGCCGTCGTCGCGCTCAGAGAAATGAGCGCGGACGTTTCGGCAGTGACGACCTGCCGGCGACCGCGACTTTCACACATGGAGCGGCAACACGTAGCAAGAGCGTCCAACGATACTCGGGGCAATGTATTCTGTCCGCTGTGTGGGGACAGCGACTACGTTTACATGCAGTCAATAACCTTTTTAAAACCCGAAGATTGGCAGCATTCGGGTTTTTGACCCAAATCTCCCGTGCTCCCGTTGTAGGGCGCGGTCGGAGCCGACGTGCTTTCACCTCTTTTTCCCAATGCCCAAGGGGCTTGGCTGCGCATTTCTACGCGACGCGCAGGGCCTCATTTTTCCACAGTGGAAACTGGACGTGCCTCACGGGTACAGCTCGGAATGCTGCCCGTGCGCCGAGAGGCCACGTGTGTCGCGGTCATATCGGCGCTTTAGTTGTGTGATGTGTGTGTGTGTGATGGTTACCTCCGTAGGCTCCCGCTGCCAACAGGCCCTGCATGGCGGCGTACTTGGCTGCCTTCTGCGCGCTCGCTGCAGCACACATGAGAAGTCAACACTCTTACTCTGAAGGCTTTGTCGCGAGAGCGGCGTGCCGCCTCGTCCGGCTCAGCTGGAGCCCGACCATATGGGCGAAGGTATTGCCACACCCACAACAACAAAGGAGGAGCCCCCTCACCCTCTTAACACCTTCTACTAAGCGGGGAGGGGGAGGGGGGCTTTAAACAAGGATTAAGAGGTCAAATTACGCCTTGAGTCCACTACAAGCAGAAGAAGTTGGAGGTTCAAACAAGTCTGAGGCTATCAAGAGGATCTTAGGGGTTTCAAAATGGGCTTTCAAGCCACGGTTTGCATTTCAAATTCAATCAATCAAGTTCCGTTCAAAAGTTGGATGCACACAATGCTTCTCGTAAGATGAACATGAGTGATTGATTGATGGATTGGTTGATTGATTTTGTGCCGCGTGGCAATCCTTTGTGTCATTTGAATGAAACGGGCACATTCCAGAGGGCGCAGCGGAAGGTCTTACATTTTTGTGCGGCTCCCGCGTATCCTGCAAGACAAAAAGAAGACGGGGGAGGGGCTCAAACTGCGTCGGTCTGTCTTTTTCACATAATATTCACCAATCAAATATGGGAAGCGTTCAGGCGCCCTATCGATACCGCATTGATTCATTTTTGCGCAGGATGTCCGATAATCACAAGCTCAATCAAAAGAGCGTCCCGGGCGTAGGTGTGATACGGAAGTCGATGTCTTTTATGAGATTAGATGTGACATTCGTCTCATCAACCAAGAAGAAGTCCGTGATTTTTGGAGAAAAGATACTTTCCCTCTCGTTTGCGTGTCATTTCCAAAGCAATTCCAAATAAAAGAGAATACACCAGGCAAGCTCAAACAAGTCAAGCTTTGTTTACCGGGATAGCCTCCGGGAGCCGGTCCGCCAAAGCCGCTCATGGCACCCCCTGCTGGACAAACACACTCACGTTTGACTCTTGATGGGGCAAATCTCAAAATCTTTTTTATCGCCCATGCTTTGAAAAGTAAGTTCAGGCCTTTCAAATGAAGTGACTCCCAAAGCGCCCACTTCATAGTAAGCACGTTTGTTTTTTCTTCGACTTGTATTGCAATCGCACATTTGTCCATTTAATCAAAAGCTCACTTTCACGAGCCGGGGAGTCTTGACCGTTAAGTCGCCCAATTCCTACACTCGTTGGACCCCTCCACCCACATCCCCGACCACCACAGCGCCGCCTGCTCAGCACAGATAGCTCACAGGCGGACTCTTGCGGCTCACTGTAACCTTTATGGTCGGGACCAGGCTACAAGTTCAAGCTCTTGGGAGTTAACAATTCAACACGGCTTAGTTACGCTGTTGAATGGACGTCAACTTATATCTTGTTTACCCGGCCTATATCCTGCTCCTCCAAAAGACGATCCGTAACCTGACTTTGCAGGTTTTGTCGCTCCAAGCGCTTGCCCGCCAGGTCCGTATCCCGCACGGCCACCGATCGTCGGTGCACTTCCAGCCGCTCCCGGACCATAGCCTCCGAGTCCAGCACCCCTGGGCCCGAAGCCATAAGAGCCCGTCCCAGTTCCCCCCGGGCCATAGCTGCCTGGTCCCACTCCATTGGAAACAGCACCACCTGTTGGAAAACGTGGATGCAATTCCGGATGAAATATAAGCATATTGTTGTGACTGTATGCGCGCATTGTGATGCAATGTGTGATCTTACCCGGTATCAAGGGTTTACCTTTGCCGGATGATTGGCCACCTGGTCCAAAACCACCTAATCCTGGGCCGGCACCACCTGGACCGAAGCCACCTGCTCCTGCGCCGGAAACTCCAGGTCCAAAACTACCTGTTCCTGTGCCTGCACCGCCTGGACCGAAGCCGCCTGCCCCAGCAGCCGCCGGTCCAAATCCACCCGTTCCCATGCCTGCTCCGGCTGGACCGAAGCCGCCTGCTCCAGCAGCCGCCGGTCCAAATCCACCCATTCCCATGCCTGCTCCGGCTGGACCGAAGCCGCCTGCTCCAGCAGCCCCTGGTCCAATTCCACCGGTTCCCATGCCGGCAGCACCTGGTGTGAAGCCTCCCCTGCCCTTGGTAGCACCGCTTGGTACCAATCCACCTGTTCCAGGACCTGAAGCACCTGGTCTGAAGTCACCACCGGGTCCAAAGCCACCTGTTCCTGTGCCAGCATTGCCCGGTATGAAGCCTCCTGTTACGGCACCTCCTGGTCGGAGACCACCTCCCGGTCCGAAACCACCGGTTCCCGTGCCGGCACCGCTGGGTCTGAAGCCACCACCTGGTCCAAATCCACCTGCTCCCGTGCCGGCACCGCCTGGTACGTAGGTACCACTGCCATAGCCAGCTCCTCCAAGTGAGGATGAACCATAGCCTGCCATGCAGAAAGAAAAACCCAAGTATGTCTTAACTTTACATTTTCAATGTAAGAAAAAGATGCTGTCATCATACCAGATTTGGCGGGCTTCCCGATGTTCAATCCTTGACCCGCTCCACCAGCTCCATAGCCGCCAGGCCCTGTGGCACCACCACCACCTGGTCCGTAGCCACCTGTCCCAGTTCCAACACCACCCAATCGTTGTCCTGCTCCTGCAGTGCCAGGCCCATATGCTCCAGGACCAATACCACCTTGTCCGAAACCCCCTGGACCGGACGCGGCTCCAACTCCTCCGGTTCCGTAGCCACCAAACCCATTTCTATTTCCAACAGCTCCTGCCCCATAGCCTACAAATAAATCATGTTTCTGTTTATGTGCTGGAGGCGAAGGCCTGATTGGATGTTTGTCGGTGTCTGCATACTTTTTGATGGTTTTCCAGCACCGTGCCTTGAACCTGAATGAGAGAGAGCATGCCATATCAATAAAAATACTTTTGAAGAACGTTTTTTTACAGAAATTCAAGCTTACCAGCATATCCTCCCAGTCCACCGGCACCCCCGCCATAACCCGGTCCTCCTCCCAGTCCTCCAGGACCCGCTCCAGCGGGTCCAAATCCAACGTTTCCAGTTCCACCAAGATTACCACCCACGCCCCTGCCTCCGAGCTTGGCGTCATAGGCTCCAGGTCCACCCCCATAACTGCTGAGCCCAGGACCAAAACCAAAACCTCCAAGCCCTGTACCATAGCCTCCATGACCGGCACCAACACCTCCGGGTCCAGCATAGCCGCCAGGTCCAAGTCCACCTTGGCCCCCCGCTCCGAAAGTACCATAAGCTGATATGAAGACAAATATATGATGAAAACATATCTCGCGGAAGCAAGACAGTCCTCAAAGAAAAGGACAGTACTTTTGCCTGGTTTTCCTCCTTGCCCTACACCGGCGCCGTTCGGAAAGCGTAGACCTGAGATGGAGCAAAGAGTTCGATTGCACATTTTTTTTAGAAAAGTCTGACACCTTGATCTTGCAAGTGCAATTTCATTGGCATACCTCCACCTGGCAAGACTCCAGCTCCACCAGCACCATCATAACCTACGATAAATGACGGGGGAAATGGAGAAACCTTTGTGCAACGTTGACTTCATTGTATACTTTTGACACATTGCATTGAGCAGATTTCATGGTGTACTTTTCACACAGTTCATTTGCTTTGAAGCAGCTCACTTTTTCCAGGTTTTGTGATCCCCGGTCCTACTCTGCCAGGTACCATGCCGCCAAGACCCGTTCCGACGACTCCTGTACCTCCGCCGACGGCACCAGGCCCAGTCCCCAATTGTCCTGGACCTCCTCCAATCACACCTGTTCCTGTCCCAACTCCTCCCGGAATGGGGCCAACACCTCCGGCACCATCATAGCCGCCAGCCCCACGCCCACCTTGACTTCCTGGACCAAAGTTCCCATACGCTGATATGGAGACAAAAATGGTTCATAGGAGGGAATTTTTTGGGGCAAGGAAGCAAGAGGGTTGTCAAGCCAGGTAACCCTGGATTACCTCCTTGTCCTGCACCAGCTCCAGTCGGGAAGCGTAGACCTGGGAGGGAGGAAAAGTTAGATTACACATTTTTGAAATCAGTCATTTTATTCTGCACGTAAAAAAAAAAAAAAAGTATGACATACCTCCAGCTGGGAAGGCTCCAGCTCCACTAGCACCATAACCTGTGACAGATGATGAGTGAGATGTAGACTTTTTTTTTTTTCTTTTTTGGCATCATTGTGTACTTTTCACACAGTTCAAGAAGCATTTTTTTCAGTCGCTCACTTTTTCCAGGTTTTGTGAGACCTGTTCCTAGTCCGGCAGAGGCCCCAACACCTCCTGGATATCCTCCACTTCCACCAAGTCCAGTCCCACCTCCTGGACCTCCTTCAACTACACCAGGTCCGGTCCCAACTCCTCCTGGACCTCCTCCAACTACCCCGGTGCCACCTTCTACTCCACCAGGTAAAGCTCCAACTTTGGTCCCATCTGGATTGTATGCTGTATTGAGGACCACATCATTTTGATTGTTTGTAAATGTTGTTCCTGTGTTGCTATCAAGTTATCATGTAAATCACAAAATGCATTGGAGAGGCACCTTTGGATGGTTTAGGTGTTGCGCCTCCTGCTAGTCCAAATCCAGTTCCAGAGTCTCCGACACCTTCTCCTCCTGTCCTACGTCGACCATCTGCGCTTCCATCGGGACGTATTTCTCCCTCTCCCTCACCTGGGGTGTCTCCTCTCGGGACTCCTAACACACAGAAGACCAGCAGTCCCTCATTAAATGGATGCAATTAAAAGGACGAAGAATGGTCAACTTGAAAAGTGGCAGTGAGTCACCAGGTGGTTTGAGAGGTTGAGCTCCAGGTAGGACCCCACTTGCGCCTGGAGTGATTAGACATGGCCGTTAGGTTTTCTTCCATTTGAGGTCTAACTGTACGTACAGTGGAATCTCTAAAGTCATACCGGTTGGTTGGACAGCTCCCCCACCACCTGCAATGACAGAAGATAAGACGTAGAGATCATCTGTGAAGTTTCAGGCAGGCTTTGGTCTTTGTGTGATCTTTTCCAAAGTTTGACGTCAACATACCGGGTGCGGCTCCTGTGGATCCTGTCGGGCATCACAACAACAAGCACACTTACAACAATGACCGCCGAGGCAAACAAACCCAATCTAGAAATGAAACTCTTACCTGGAAGAGGAGTCCCACCGAACCCTGTTTCAGAGAGGAAAAAAACAGCGTGTCCAAACAATAAATATTATTTGAAGAATCGTTTAAAATGTGTAACACTTACCCGGTCTTCCTCCAGGGATGGGAATTCCTGTTCCTCTAAGACCGTCTCCATCAGCTCCTGCACCAAATGGGCTGCCAGCGACCCCCCCGCTGGCCCCTGTTGCAGTAGGGGTTTATTCATGTGCACACTTTGATTCAACAGCACGGATTGTTTCACATGTAAAACAACTTTTCATGACTAAAAAAGTTAGTGTATTTTAATTGATAATGCCTGTTTAAACACGAGCACGCTACCACCCCTCCCCGCTGAACACCCCCCGACCCCCGATGAGTGATTGAAGGCTGTGGATCCTCAGGCCTTACAGTGCAGTGTTGTATCTCTACAAATAGAAGTTGCATTTAAACACACCTTCTCCTGCAGCAATGCCAGACCCCTCTATCATACCGCCTGGACCACCCTCACCTGGAATAGGACAGATTGTTACTATTGAAATTGTTGGTTGATACCAATTTGATGATTACCTCGATCGCTGAAAACCAGAACAAAATGCATTGGAGTATGTCTCTGAATGAACTTTTCCGATTTTGATTTTTGCTATCGGATCTTATTGTCTTCTTTTTGGTCCTTATTTTTGGGACACGCACTTCCGTCAAATTCTTTTCTGTCCTTTCCAACGTCAATGCGACTCCCACCTGGGTCAGTAACAACCAACAATGTCACAGGTCGTTCAAAGACGTTAGAAGAATCGCTACGGCTTATAGTTGTTGTGTACGTGCCTTCTGCTAATGGCGCCATTGTTCCTCGTGCAGTGCCTCGCCCTGACCCAGCACACATTTGGATTACCGACTAACCTCATTTCAATCTGATTTTTACACCGACAGAACCTTACCGCCAGGTCTTGTTGTGTGAGCGGCATCGCCCCTGCCGCTTCCGTTGACGTACACTCTGGTACCGCTGACCGGAGCGCCAGTGCCACCGCCCGGTCCCGATGACGCTCCGCCAGTTTGACCTACAGGATAAGGAATTTGTTGCAATTCATTTATTACCAGATATGTTCCTTTCAATGATTTTATACTTGAAACCTATTTCATTTCCTACCATATTTGTCTGCCTTGGATTCAGCTACACCGTACCCTGACAAGGCAAATCAATAAGATGCCTTCATAAACAACCTGTTACCGTTTGCTTTCGCTTGACATTGCCAGCCTTAAACATTTCATAAGAAATCATGAACCTTGACAAAAATGATCTATAATCAAAAGCAACCTTGTCCGACTCCGCCTCCGAGTAATCCTCCACCGACGCCACCTTGTCCGGGCCCGCCTCCGAATCCCCCACTACCGACTCCACCTTGTCCGGGCCCGCCTCCGAGTACCCCTCCACCGACTCCGCCTTGTCCACGTCCGCCTCCGAGTACCCCTCCAGCGACTCCCCCTTGTCCGGGCCCGCCTCCGAGTACCCCTCCACCGACTCCGCCTTGTCCACGTCCGCCTCCGAGTACCCCTCCAGCGACTCCACCTTGTCCGGGCCCGCCTCCGAGTACCCCTCCACCGACTCCGCCTTGTCCACGTCCGCCTCCGAGTACCCCTCCAGCGACTCCGCCTTGTCCGGCTCCACCTTGTCCTGCACCGATCACACAAGTCATTTATGGGGACGAGAGCGAAGACATCATCTATTAGGGTGCTCATTTGAATGAAGCAACATCATATATGTACCATATTTGGCAGCTTTCGAGCCAACTCCATCTTCTGTGAATGACATTTTGATTAGTTCAGTCATAGTTATAATATTCATTTATTTAGTTATTTTATGTCGCCATAAAGTCATTTGAACCTGGTCCATATCCAGTCCCTGTCCCTGCACTGTGGCCTGCCGCTGATTCAAAGCCTGTCCCAGGGACGGCCTCAGGGCTGTAACCCCCAAGTCCATATCCGGTTCCACCGGTCCCCGGCGCTCCCCCTCGTCTTCCATCTACACCCGACCCAGGCGCTCCACCGCCAACAGGAAGACCTGAACAGTTGAAGCACACTTTTAATGTAAACTATGTGTAGATACTTTCTCCACATATTATCTCCACACATATTGCTTATTTTGTTTGATGCGATTACAGTCAGTGCACACGAGAGACTCGGCGCCACCAGGAGAACATGTGAGATGAATTTTGTTCCTGTTACTGAACACCCATCATTGAGGACGGTCAACAGCACTAGTGACTGATTACGAATAAGTGGACAAGGTTTTGCAGTGTCGTATACCTCCGGCACCACCTGGTCCAAAACCAGCAGGTGCTCCCCCAATTCCAACACTAGAAGGGGGCAGTCCACTTGCCCCGAGTCCTGCACCGGCTCCTCCAGCTATTTGTCCAGCGCCTCGCCCGTGGAACCCTGCTCCTCCAAGGCCGGAACTTGGTCCACTTACAACACCAAGTCCACCTACACCCATCACCCCGCCAGGAAAACATAAATGAGATGAGGAGCTTACTGAGCAACCTCAAATTGTAATCAAGTATTGAAAATGGTGTTCCTCTAACCGTATTTGCGGGCTTTGGCACCAGCATAACCTGAAAAATGCAGACCCATCAAGAACTGAGAGTACCACATTAGTCATTGGTCCTTACTTCGTAAAGCTGCATCTGAATCTTACCTCCTGGTCCATTTAGAGTACCTCCAGGTCCAACTCCTGCACCTGGTCCAAATCCAGTGCCAGCTCCTCCAGGCCCAACTCCTGCCTCTGGTCTGTAGGCAGTGCTCGCGCCACCAGGCACCATTCCAATTCCGGGTGCAAAACGTGTACCAGCGCCCCCAGGTCCAATAACCCCTCCTGCCCCGTAACTTTTACCTGCACCTCCAGGTCTGACTTCTCCCGGGCCAAACCCTGCCACAGTACCACTAGGTACAATTCCTCCAGGTCCAAACCCTGTACCAACACCACCAGGCCTGACCCCTCCTGGTCCATAGCCCATGCCAGCTCCGCCCGGTCCAACGCCTCCAGTACTCATTCCTTGACTTCCCAGTGCTCCACTGAACATGCCTATCCGGGGATGTTTTGTTCTTGTCGTAAATACAGCCAAACAATAAAAGGGCAACCGTTGTTTTGAATCACCTGGCTTCACTTACCATATTTACGGGCTTTGGCATTGCCGTTGTACCCTGAAATATGAAGACAGCGCAACTTGAACAAATGCCAGACTTCAGCTTGAGTGATTGAAATAGAACTTTTGAGTTATGATTACCAGCAGATCCTGTTCCTATTCCTCCGAGTACTTGTCCAGCTCTTCCTGGTCCAGTACCACTACTCCCTGGCCCATAACCTCTTCCGCCAGGTCCACCGGCGGTACCACCTAACCCAGTTCCAGCAGCACCTGGGCCATATCCAGGACCGTCTGTCCCAGTGCCAGCGCCACCATATCCAGGGCCACCCGTGCCAGCACCATAGCGCCCTCCCGGTACGCCAAGGCCTCCAGTCGCACCGGTGCTGACGCCACCATATTGCTCTGGACAAAGTTTTTGGGAATGTGTCCTCAAGGATCTAAGACTTGGGTTGTCTAAGGTTGTTTAATTGACTGGATGCCAACTTCAGATGAAGATGTCTCACCATATTTGAGTGCTTTGGCTGAGCCAGGACCATAACCTAGGGCACAAAGCGTTGATAGATTTCTGGACCTCTCGGACTTAAGGGCATTTATTCATTAATGGTGTATCCTTTGCTTTAATGGCGCTGAGGAAAACCCAATACGGCACCTGTTCCAGCTCCACCGCCATATCCAGGAAGAGCTCCCGGTCCACCCGTTGTTCCCATTCCACCCCCATATCCAGGAACAGCTCCAGGTCCCCCAGCTGATCCAACTCCGCCTCCGAATGCAGGAACAGCTCCAGGTCCACCGACAAATCCAGGGAGACCAGTCCCTCCAGCAGGTAGTCCAGCACCAACTTGACCAAGGGTACCTGCTCCAGCTCCACCCGGCGAACACAGTGAGGTTAGCTCAAGCATTGATGACTGTATTGAGGATGTCATCAAAGGTATGGCATGAAGCGAATGTAAAGTGCCTTTACCATACTTGGCTGCTGCTTTGGCTGGACTTTTTGACTTTCCTGTGCCTGTGACATTAAAAACACTTGGTAGGTCTGCCTGCCCTTAAGTGACTCTTCCCTAATTCAGTTATTAGTCAGACTTTAGTTACCTGACTTGGGCGATATGAGAGGGTATCCACGAAAAACCCCTGGCAGTTGATGTCCTCGACCGTCTTAAGAGAGAAATCCATCATTGACTTAGTTGTGCGAGGCAACTTTACATGCAGCTGTGCACAGCCAAATTTTGGCGCGGTCCTCAAATGAGCACCAGAGGTTGGTTGGTTGTTTGGTGCTCATTTTTTCTCCCCCTGAGCCACCGACCTTATGGAAGACTTGCGGCACATCCGGGCAAGGTTTATCATGATGCGTCATTTTAAAATAACTGAATCCGTTTTTGTTTCAGTTTTCTTATCTTATCTTTTCACTTTTTATTTCCTAATTATAACGACATACCAGGGCTACACATTTGCTGCTTACTAAAGCAAAACAAATAACTTTTATTTTTGCCCCAAAAATCATATTTTACACAATTGTGTTGCATGGCCCTATTATTCTAGTGCACAAAAGCTCCATGACGGACTTGAACTGGAGTGCGTTATTCAATTTTCCGTGCTCATGCGCACCAGTGCACCGTTTTTTTGTTGTTGTTGTTTTTTTAATGTGGATCATGTCATCGTTAGATTTTTAGTTGCCGTAATAGCCGGTCTCAATTTACCGTCTGCACCTTGGCCGGGTACTCTGCCACCTGCACGGAAGAGGGCAACACTTGAATTTGTCAGGCATGCTCCGCCCCACAGAGTTCACAATGAACCTGATTTCATACCAGCCTGCGGTCCAAGTCCAGTTCCAGTTGCCACTCCAGGGACAACACCTCGGCTTGCAAAATCTAACCAAGGGAAAAAATAGGAAACACTGTTTGGTTTGTCTGTTTGTGTTTCAATCAGTTGGTAGATTAAAATATGCTCTTTGTGCCTTTTACCATACCTTGACTTGGTACAAATCCACCTTGGTACAGTCCAGGAACCCCTACACCTGTATGAGCATGTAGCCCAATTTTAGCAACCAAGGCCCCCAAATTCTCCCAGCTAGAAAGTCAACTGGTGTCATATACTGATGAGAATTTACCTGGAAGTTGTTTTGATGCTTTACTGCCAGGCCCAACTCCTGCAGCCCCGTGTCCAAGCCCTGCAGCCCCAGGTAGGAATCCTGCACCCGCAGGCCCCACCCCTGCGCTTCCAGGTCCAAACCTTGCACCCGCAGGCCCCACCCCTGCACTTCCAGGTCCAAACCTTGCACCTCCAGGCCCACCCTCTGCACGTCCAAGTCCGAATCCGATGCCTTCAGGCCCAACTCTAGCACTCCCTGGTCCGGACCCTGCACCATCAGGTCCGAATCCTGTTCCCCCTGGACTATAACCTGTTTCCACAATCAGAGTTATGTTCCTGTATTTGAAGCAGTGAACATTGCATGACCGATCCGGTACCTGATTTCGGAGGTTTGGGTCCAGTTCCACCAAGTCCTGGATACTGGCTACTGCCGCCTTGTCCATAAGCACCTCCAAAGCCACCTGAATCAAAGGCAGACTTGATTTACTTTCAATTCCATGTCCATTCAACATGATGGCATCGCTTCCTTCCGATGACCGGATGATGTAGAAATAGAACTGAAAGAGGAAGTCACCCCCCCCCACCAAAAAAAAAAATTCTTGACAGGAAAATGTCGTACGCGCCCCCCACTAGTCTCAGAATGTCATTCCGATTCATGTTTCAATTGTTCGAATATGAACGAAGCGTCAAAACCCGCCCACGTGTAACCATTTTGCCGCTCACTGTCGACTGAAAAAGACATCTCGCTTGCTCGGGACTCGGGTGACAAGACAACCAGTCCCGGCTCAGATGAGCCGTAATTGGTTGAGCAACCGTGATGTCATTTTCACCCGACAGCAAGTAGCAAAATGGCTGGCCCCTCAGAGGGATAAAAATGGGTGGATTTTGCCGCTTCAGTCATATTTGAACAAATACAATATTCATCAGAACACCGCGTTGAGACCAGTGGGACCGCGTAGACGGTATTATTGTCATGAAAAATGTGGCGTTGACTTCCCCTTAAACACACCTCCGGGTACGAGGCCCGTCCCGGTTCCTTGACCGGCGCCTTGCGATCCAAGCGCTTGGACCACACCCGCTTGACCTCCGAAACCCAAACCGGCTGCAGAGGCTCCCCCAGTTCCATAACGTCCAAGACCCCCGAATCCGAGTCCACCCGCACCTGCGCCTGCACCACCCGTTGCTAGTCCCGGTCCAAAACCTCCACTCAGTCCTCCTTGGCCACCGTAGGCGCCACCTTCAGGCAAATTTGAAATAAGCGGCATGATCACGTTGTAGCCTAGGTACCAACGCGTAACTAACGGCATTGCCTTGTGGTGAGAGAATGCTGCTCACAAGCAGGAGCAGGAAACCTTACCTGTTTTCGGAGGCTTCGCACCTGGAAGGAGCGGTTTGAACCAGTCAAGAAGTATTCTCAGAAAATTGCACCACGTGAAATAAAAATCATCATTTGAGTTGAATTTGTCATACCGGCCCCAAAACTTCCGGCCGCACCTCCCACTCCCCCGCTGCCCGGACTGTAGGTGCCGGGCTGGAACCCTCCTGCTCCTGGACCGACAAAGCCACCTGAGCCAGACAGAAGACAGGGTTGTCGTCAGTACTGATGACCGATTATTATTATTATTTTTTTTTTTTTTATTCTTTCTTTGGTTGATTTCGCTTTTCTCTTTTCAAACCCAGAACAGCATCCTCCCATACCTCCCTGAGCGAAGCCTCCACCACCAGGACCGAATCCCGTGCCCGTGCCGCCTGGTCCGAATCCAGTTCCGGCACCTGCGCCGATTCCGGCCGCTTCTCCGGCTCCAACCGGTAAGCTCACGCCTACGCGCAGCGGGCAAAACAGATGCCTAAGGAGTTTTCTGCGACTGGCTTCAAATCTGCGTCAACTGCAATTTTTCTGCAAATGATTTTGGAAACTCCAATTGTCACAGTGTGCAAGTCATCGCTCTTTCATGACTTTGCGAGCACGAAGCACTTCATTGTTACATATCAATTTGTAAATACTCAGAATCGGCCAAGTGGGATTTGGTGTGTGTGTGTGTGTGTGTGTGTGTGTGTGTGTGTGTGTGTGTGTGTGTGTGTGTGTGTGTGTGTGTGTGTGTGTGTGCGCGCGCGCCATAGTGGCCCCTCATCCTGAACACATGTTTTTCCCTCTGCTGTTAATTGAGAGTGCTGTGTTGTGTTGGATGAAACCTGAGGTCCATAAATAGAAAGTTAGCTATAAAAGGAAAAGTAGAATTCTCATCCGCCCCCCCCCCTCCCACCCCCTCCCAAAAATGTCGGTCTATAGGGATTCCTAAAGAATGTGAATGACTAGTCTCGGTGTAACGTCATGTATTGTTGCATTTCAATGCGCAGGCCCGCCTCCCCTGCCACAAAGCCCAAAACTCGAGTTCACTTTCAAGCGCAGCACAAGTCCGCCTCCCATGTGATAAGGCGACCGACCACAAGCTGTTGGTTGATATTGGAGGGCGGCGCGGCGGTCGACCGGTTAGCGCGTCGGGCTCGCGGCGCAGGATCCCGGCTGCGGCTGTTCTCCGGGTACTCCGCTTTCCCTCCCGCATGCCAAAAACATGCACGGCGGGCTAATGGAGCACTAGAAATTGTCCCGAGGTGTGAGTGTGAGCGCGGATGGTTGCGTGCCCTGCGAGCGGTTGGCAAGCCGTTGCGGGTGTCCCCCGCCTACCGCCCGAAGACGGCGGCTGGGAAAGGCTCCGGCGCGGCCGCGACCCTCCTGAGGAGAAGCGGATTAGATGATGGATGGATGGACGGATGATGCGGGAGGGAAAGCATGAGTGGTTCTTGCCCCCTCCACAAATGAAATCAAACGTTGGTCATCCAACAGACGGCACGGAGCAGCGGATGGACTCTTTTCCTCCGGCTCGACTCGCGTGCACGTCAATCACAACTTCCCCGAAGCTCATGAAAACAATGGCACCAAGTCAGAGAGACGCACCGAGAGAGGGAAAAAAAATCTAGCCCTTGCAAGTCGAAGGTCCAGATCAGGAAGGATTTAAAAACCCTTTTTAACTTTATTTTGCGCATGCAAAACTGTACTTTTTTCCCTCCAAATGTTGCCGCTGTCAATTGCGAATTTCTCCATTGTGAGACGAATAAAGGTTTTCTTTTTTGAAGTTGAACAGGATCTCGAAATGATTCTCTGACGATTGGTGAAAGTTGTCGTCGAATCGGCAAATTGAAACCTTGAATGCCGAGAATTCGAAAGCACGCGTGCGATATTTGCAGAGGTGAAGAAGAAGCGGCGAGCCCAGTGAGCGGGAGGGGACGACCGCTCGCGTTTCACTTGAGCGAGTTGCGGCGCCGAGGGCGACTCACCTCCTTGCAGCGAGGGTCCGCACAACGCCAGGACCACCAGCAGCAGCGCCGGCGGGCCCGCCGCGCCTCTCGGGTACCAGCGCCACGTGCCTCCTGCCATCCCGCTCCCAAATGTCCTGGCCCGCTCCGAGCGGGCCGCTTTTATCCCGCCGAGCTGCCGGCAAGACTTTGCGGGGAGGGAGGGGGGCCGAGGGGGCCTTCCCGAGCGGCGAGACGGACGCCGCTCTCCAATTGGGCCGCAGGCGCTCACGCCAAGATAGACGAGCGGGCAAGAAAACACATTGGATCACTCGGTTCAAACAAACACGCTGTTTATTTGCCTCCGCGCTGCCAAACACTTTGAGAAGGCTGACTTGGGGGGGGGGCTCTGAGGGAAAGGGAGGCGCTCATTGGGCGCTTTGAGAGCACAAGCAGCAGAGGTGGGAAGGCCCCGTCCGTCTGCGGGATGATGGGATGAAGTCCTGTCGCGGCTCTGACAAGAGCGAGCACGGGTGAGCGGCGGCTCGCAGGTCCGCCTCGCCGCGCCGCTTTCAAACCCTCCGACGTTAACGGCGGCCCGATGGCCAACAAGGCGCCCGATTGGGCCGGCACGCGTCTTACCGGGAGGGCGTCTGACCTCTCCCTTCGGGGGCGGTCAGTTGATGCGGCATCCGGGTAGGGGGCCTCCCGGACATCTTCCGGGCGTGTCCTGCCACTCGGAGGCCTGTGACACGTCGGGGCCATGTCTACTGCTGCTGCTGCGTGCTTGGGCCGCTTGTTGAGGTCACACGACCTGTCCGCTCGAAGCCATTTGGGAGCGTGGCATCATGAGCTCGCCGCCTCGGCGTGCTCGTGATGCTGCGTTGCGTCGATGTCAACGCATCGCGATGCGCTGAATCGCGGCCCAGTTCGGGAGAAGAAACAAACGAAAGAAAAAGAAAAAAGTCCGTGCCGGCCCGATGCATGTTGAAGTCGTGCGCGCCGCGCATGTTGAAACTTCAGCTGGCGAAGTCGCCGACCCTCTCCGCCATGAGGTCGGCAGAGAAAGGGCCTATCGCAGCAGGCTCGCTCGTGTTTGCCTACGCAGTTTCCCGCTCTACGTTAGCCTTCACGTGCTCGTGGTCGATTTCTCTTTGGTTTGTTGCTTGTCGACACGCGCGCCCCGCCACCGGCCGGCGAGCGGCTCGGGGCGCGGCCCGCCTTTTGCCCGAAGTGGGCCGGG